CTGGTATCCCGTCTCATCTGTATGCTTTTGCCAAGCTGATTGAAGTTGCTTGAGCTTGTCACCAGATGGCAGTAGGTGACATGATTCAGAAATAAATCGGTTGGTGTTGGTAGTGAATCTCTTGTCTAACGGGCAGGTCCTAGGCTTCAGAAGGTTATCGTAGACATGGCACATATCAGATTCCTCATCTTGTACCTTACATCAAGGGTTTGTAAAATATACTCTGACATGTCCTTTCGTATTCATGGAATCAGCACAGCATACAAACCCCACATTGCAATGTGAAACCTTCAAGTACACCCCAATGATAAAACAGACTGCAAAGACACCTGCGGCTCCGTATACCAGATTTGCGTGTATATGATGGAAACTGGAAAAAAATTAGAACCTGCCTCTGTTGTATACTTATGGTCGGCTAATTTTTAATTTCACACGGTAGCTTGTTACCAAAAACGTAGTTGGTGATGCTAGAGGCTTTGCAGGATAGAATAATTGAGCTAGAGCCCTGGGAAAAAACGCTGCTACATACACATTGCTAGACCAGAGCACGAATCAACCAGAGCAGGTTAATTAATAAAATAATAATAATGTGAGTTGCGTTGAATACGAAAAACCCGACAGGTTCAGTAAATGTAAAAGAAAATTAAAATCATCATTGGTGACAGCAGTCCACACACAGGCCTAGCTTCCACAACTCCACCACAAGAAAACTACACAAATACGCCATCACGAACCCAGGAACCCCATGGCCAATCCTAATTAACCCTGATCTTGACTGGTTTGTGGCTAAGATTCTCGTAAAGGAAGGTTTTGTTCCATACATATAAATAAGAGACTGAATCCGAATTCACATGGGTGCGGATAACATAAACATGGACGACCATGCATACAAACTACCAATGTCTATGAAAACCTCCTCAAGCTCAGGACACACCCATTGGAGCAAATAGCCATCCGCTACCAACCTTAGCCGATTCATTTCTGGCTTTTGTCACCTTCTGCCATTCTGTGACGAGAGCCTAAGCAACTTGATTCAGCTTGAGTAAGACAGAACGTTTGTCGAAACTGCCGTTAACACTAGCAGGCCAATATATTTGTATTTATCTCAAAATAGAGTTACTCAAAAATTTGTCATAATATCTGATCACAAGTTTGAATGCATAATAGCTCTCCCCACAATAGTCGTGCTGACTACAAGATACATGCTCACCATCATGGTATTCCTGTATATCATAATCCCTCCTCACTCTCAGCATTGGTTAGTATATACTGCAGGCGGTTCCACTGCTCGGTATATAATATACCGTATCACAGCTAAAAAATCGTTGGTGTAATGCCAGCTACACTGACCTTGTTTATATAGGAATTGGAACAGCAAGAAGCAAAAGCTTCAGATGAAGAGGACGAGAAAGAGAACGAGGAGAACAAGAAGCTCAGCAAGGAGAAAGATGACGATAATGAAGATGAAAATGAGGTAGACGAGGAAGACTATGATGAAGAGGAAATGGAGGAAGGCACCGATTACATATCCACCTACTTTGACAATGGAGAGAATTATGGAGATGATGAAGATGATAACATTGATGATGGACCGGTCTACTAACAAGAAGCTGCATTTCGCACTAATAGACTAGAACCTAAGTATTAAAAGCACTCATGGACATGGCATGGGTTTGCATTAATGTCTGTACATTAGTAACACCAGTACCAACATGATGTTAGGTTAATTGTTTTCAATAACTTTTGTTCAATAACTTTGTCTTCAATAACGTTGTCTTCAATTACGTTGTCTTACATAACGTTGTCTTCAATAACGTTGTCTTCAATAACGTTGTCTTCAATAACTTTTGTTATGCCACTGTTGGTATATGCCATGTATATATTACACGCCTATCAGGAAATGGAACATTTTGCTTATAATTATTTGCATCCATGTGTATGGTATTATGCTTTTAGTTAATAAGCTATTATACTAGCTACATTCATAGAAAACAATAAATGCAAATGTGTTAGATCTGGTGTTTAATATTCTTTACATGATAACACGTTTACCCATACAGATACCTTCTTCCAGGGTATGATTCTGCAAAATTACTCGGGCATAGATATTTGCACGTATTGTCTTTGCATGTTTTTGCAATTAATGTACTTAATTGATGTATGTGTCGGAGAATGGCATGCTGCATGTTGAAACACATATTTATCAGTGTTGTAGGTGTCGAGGCCGGCCTCGAGCCCGGTTTCTTTGGCCTTGGCCTCGGAGTGCAATAACTCGGACTCGGGTCGAGGCCACTACATAACTGTACATATCAGTGATGTAGTATATGCGCATGCTATCGCTAGCACACTCCCTACCAGCTAGCACTGTTCGCAATCACGTATATGCTTCCAAGTATAGTTTTCAACATACTATTTAACTAGCACTGCGCTGATACCGTGTTTATTTTGTTTAAACTGTTTTACCCATACATTGTGCTGAGCAAATTCATTTATTGGGCTCTATGGAACTATGTGGGAAATACCCTGCGCTACCATCGCCTTATCGCGCTGGTATGATGCTGCAATAATTGAGCACAAACAAACCCAAATTTGAACCTGTATACGCGGCGCAATTGCAACTACTTTGTCCGTCCTTATATCAAAATAATAGATATAACAGTTGTATTGTTGGTGATTAAACTTGAAGTCTTATTTGTGCACTTTTTGTTTTTTCTGTCATGTACTATGTACGATTATACAATTATGGAAAGAATTTTCTGATCAGTATTTAACAATTGTGCAGTAATTCTGTAGCAAGGAACATGAACATGAAACGTCTGTATTATTGGTGTAATGTCATATTACATGGTAAACCGGATTGGGCTTATGTAACTCTTTATGTGATATGTGATATATAATCACAAAATAATATGTTCAGGTAATGCCAAGCCATTTTTTCTATCGACGTGCTTGTGTGTCTTTGACAGTTTTTTTAATGTTCGAACTTCATAGTTGAACAAATAAAACAAAGAAATGAAGTTTATGCTACAAGAACAAACTTAGCCCAGTGCTTTTACTTTCTATTCATGAAAACAAGTGACATATCCAGGGGGGGCAGGAGGCACCCTCCACACTTTTTTACCGACCATATACATAGAAGTTGGCGGCCTTGTCGGTCTGCGCCCCCCCCTAATTTTTTTTATCAAAGCTGGACTCGGGCTCGGCTGGTGTGGACTCAGACTCGGACTCGGACTCGAGTGGTGTGGACTCGGCCTTGGCCTCGGAGACTATGGACTCGGAGGCCGTGGACTCGAATACAACACTGATATTTATACAACCAGGAAGATACTTTAATCGTTTTTATTCATGGAGCATCATAAAATAAGTAGGGAGGAGAGACTGTAGAGTGGGATGAAGGAGGGAGGAGAGAATGTAGAGGTGGATGAAGGAGGAGAGTGAATGTAGAGGTGGATGAAGGAGGAGAGTGAATGTAGAGTGGGATGAGGGAGGAGAGAGAAGGTAGAGGTGGATGAAGGAGGAGAGAGAAGGTAGGG